CTATTCCTTCTTAATGGCAGGGTATGTTGCGAAATATAACTCGTATGAAATGCTGAGATATTTTACCTTTTGCTGTTCAATGCCGATTTGGGCTCCCCAGATCAATCCCGTAGACGGGTGATTGCTAATGGCGAAAAGATCGATAGTACTAGCTGAGAGACAGGCAACACGATGGACCCGGTCGGTGTGGTGGTGAAGTGCTCTGCTCCCCGGTAAGGACAACAGCGCATGTTCGTTCCCCACTGCATACAGCTGTGGTCCGGAGTTTTGCAAATATCTCAGCATTTCATACGAGTTACATTTCGCAACATACCCTGCCATTAAGAAGAAAAAGGCAGTAAATAAAAAGGTTAAGATTTCTTATTTGACTTGTTGTCCCAAATAAGCGCATTTTCCTTTTGGTTTCAGCTCTTGCCAATGAACTAGTTTACTTGGGTACGTAAATAGTCTGTAACGTTCCAATTATAACACACCGAGTGGTGTGGTGGTGAACGCGCTACTGCCCGGAAAGGACAATAGCGTGTTCGTTCCCTACCGCATACACCTGTGATCCGGAGTTTTGCAAATATCTCAGCATCATTGAAGTTACTTTTCTTAGTTGTTTCGTTTTCTTGCAATATTCCTCCATAGGGGTGACCAGGTTCGTGTGTGTGTGTTCGGCTGCGGTGGGGATCCGTTTTTTCTCCTTGTAGCGGTCCTAATGAAGAATGGTTTACTTTGGGACACCGAAGTAGATAGGAATTCAAAGTTGTCCCCATATCTTTATCGCTAGTGGTCGCTAGCCCTTCAATGTTTAATTCTGGTTTTCTGCTTTGGAGTTACGATTCTTTTACGATAGTAGCGATTCAGCAGACGTAGACAATGTATATAAAAGACAAAGAGATCAGTGTTCGATTGCATTCGTACTATCCAAGTGTTGACCAAATGAATAGTTGGACTATACAATGGCGTGCACTGGTCTAAAGATAAATTGAGTTAGTGTTTTTATGCACTCAAACAAGTTTGGCGCTAATTTGCCGATTCTGGCGAGTTTGAGAGCTTGGATTTCGGAGGGCACATGATCGAGCCAGCAACCACGTGTATATTTTCGGACCCCTCTAACTATAGCCCTACCTGCGTCCTTGGGAAGTAATTAATATGCAAAATATAAACAAGGACAATTAGAGATAAAGCTAGGTTCGACGGAAACTTTTATCCAATTGACAGACCTAGGTGTGCTCTAAGTGTTTACTATGCTATTGTACATTCATCCCGACAAAACCGGATGATGTCCGATCGCCGATGTTTCCATGAAGAACTGGTGCAGTTTCCAGTTTCTCGCTTGTATGTCTCTTTCTTTCACTCTTTTCATTTCTACATAAAATGTCACTGAGAGGTTTACAAACCGTTTTTAAAACAATCTATAAACAAAAGTTTGCTTTCATTAAGTTGAGATTAGGAAGCTCCTGCTTCAAATTTTTCCTGAAGAAAAAGCAGGACTTTTACGAACACTTCGGTTTTTTCATGTTAGATTTTAAACACGTGGAAAGTATTACGTAACGGATAAATCCAGTAGAACATTTTTTTCTAAGAGGAATAGAAAAATATCTGAGAGAAAAGCAAACGAACTGCCAGCATGATGTAGTGGTGAACGCGTGAGCCATCAGAGTGAGTAACGGCGTGTTCGATCCCCATCGCAGACACCTGCTGTGTAGAGTTTTGTAGATATCTCAGCTTCACTGTGGTTGTATTTATTTTCTTCTTGAAGAAGTACATTTTTTGCGCAGAGACTATTTTTAGTGGTATTTCCATATGGTTAAAAATCAGTCTACAAACATCGCTTATTATTTCATTCTTTTGTTTTAGAACTTGAAGAGCTGAGAAATTAATACCATACGAGAAAATATAACAGCGAGTAGATTAAATATCACCTGTCACCTGTAGATTAAATACGTCGGAATAAAACCTTTACCTTAGAATATGAAGTTGTAGATGTTTTAATAATGATCGAAATGGGAATAAGCTTGGCGTAACAGATGCTTCAGATCACTTTCACTTCGACGAGGCACTAAAAAACCACCACAGGCCTCTAGCAGTCGTTTATCAATAGAGCCTTCTTACTTATGGCGTTACCGTAACTCCTTCATTCACGCTATCTTTAGTTTCTTCGTTTTATCTCAACTTCGTGCTGCCATCATTCATCAAACAGCTGCTCCAGTGATTTGATGGTGTGCACGTTTGTTGTAACTGAAATGTCTTTGTTTATCAGTTCATCATCTCATCACATGATAAGTACTTTGGGTTTGATGCTTATTGATCGATCATGTGTGATTATCGGTAGATGATAATCGATAATTGTTTTTCAATCAATACCAGCCGATCTCACTCGGTGTAATTCAGTAGTGATAAAGCTGGCGATTCACTGATGCTCGCGACGAGTCTATACCAAGCAATATTTTTTTATAGATTTATTTTCGAAGTTTATGCATTACCTAGTCTTCTTTGTATTCTTTCGGCCTAAGAAATATGGCTCACATATGTGTTTGTAACGGGTTCATCTTATTCAGTGCAACCAAAAAGATAGATTAGATCGGTAGTACGAGGTCAAGTATAAGCGAATTTTTTAGTACTCATTAATATAATCCCCTTACGGACTATGGTTTATCGTCGCGTTCATAATGTGTTCAAGTACAAAGCATGCGTATTGATCACGGTCGGGAGGCGATCGATTCACAAGGAGCACAGGATAAAAAATGCCGCCTCGTTAAGTCTAGTCTGAGCCGTAAAATGAAGTTGGATTCTATTTCTTTACAGGAAATTTATTTGTTCTTTTGATGACGCCGATATGGTGCTATGATCCTGAAAAACGACCGCTTCTTAGCACGCTCAGATCATTTCATATTCTGGATCTTTCATAAGTTCTGTCCTGTCACATAGCTATTCTATTCAAAATCGAAGTGTTCTGGTTGAGACTCTTTGAGGGGGTTAATTCTCTCCAAAGTGCTTAGTCCTACGCGTGCATATTTTATTTGTCGCCAACGTTGCTCCATGTAGCCAGCAACGTTTATCGTACCACCACATTTTACTCCACCATGGCTGAAATGGCAGTCCGTACCACAGGAGAATCCTTTGTCATCAAGCTGGCACACCGAAAAATCGACACGTCGTCGTAGTCGTTATTGTTGATTGTTTTGATGGCCGTCAGAGTGCTTCACTGTTGTACGTTTTCGTCGTTTTTCTCGTGCGTTCTGCCAGTCTTCTGCTTCTTGTAGTACTGAATTTGTCATCTATAAGTTATTAGAACGATGGATGATCATCTAATTAAACCGATTTTCATTTTGAAAGTTGTGAATTTCAGTTTGGATGCTAGAATTTAATAGAGGAGTCTGTTGTGCAGAGGTCAGAGGTTTTTCCTTTAATCCTGTACACCGAGGTGACCATTCACTCTATCTCTTTATGGTGGAGAAATAGGTGCCAGATTTAGCTTCGTGAAAGAATACTAACCTGTTATAATTACAAGGACGCTGAGATATGAGGAGTACATGGAGCCTCTGCTGGGTGTCGAATCCGCGATTATCCATAGCGTGGGGTTCACGTGCTATCCATTACGCCAACAGAGTAAAAAGAAATTGGCTCAGAGAAAGACTAAGCAAAGTCCTCGGTTGGTGTGTTGGATAGCACGTAAATCCACGGATAGCGTCGCTTGTTCTAAGCTTACCAGACGTTCTTAGTTTAACTCATATCGCAGCATCCTTGTGGTTGTATTTCACACAACTCTCTCCCATGAAAAAGATTAGGTAGTAAATAAAGGTTTAACACTAACTTGATGTATCGTCATTCTCTCACAGTTCATTGTCTAAGTCAAATGTGCATTCGGCCATCAACGAGATACCGCGAATGAAGTGAAATGCGTTATTCATTTCTAAGGCAACGATCAATGCAGAACGCTTTTTCCTTTATGCTAAAATGTATTTTTTCTTCTTGAACGGGCGACTTGCTTATTGATTTCGGAGTTTATTCCTGCGAAAACGATCAATTTTCTGTTATCGTAGAAAAAGGCGAGGAAAATAATGAATGGTTTGCGAGCTTCTAGCAGATGTTCGTCCAACATGAATTCACCTTTACACCATCCGTGAATATTACCAAGTAGTTTATGCTATTAAATGTAAGTTCGTCGATGTAGATTTGTTTCTCGCTGATGATCCTACTATTATTTCCGCGATATCGACGGGATGAAAGTGTCCGCCAATTTGGAGAGTTGGGTCCGAGGGAGGATCCTCAACCGGTAACGGTGATAGCACATGTAATAGTCGTATCTTTTTGCTGTGTGCCTTCTTCACGTTTTTTTAATAATAATATAGCAAAGAACAGAGCGTTTTGTTTAAATCAATCCCTTAAGAATACGCTGTGATCCATCAGCGATGCACCAGTTCTGAGATGTCTTGTATAGAGTGCATTCGTTGCCGAATTAATAGCCACCTTCAGTTTTGTACCAAAAACCAGCTGCGCTCTGTTTGTGATGATGATTAGATGTATATCTGGGCTGTGTATTTATACGTTTTATATATCCTGTTCATTGAGTTTCGGTGGTTTCCTTAGTGTTTTTGTCGTCCCAGAAAAGTCTGGTGCCAATTTGCCGACGCCGGAAGGTTAGAGGGCTTGCTAAGCGCGGAGCGTAGGATCGAACCAACGGCAATCTGTTATTACAGAGAACTTTCAATTATTGCGCTACACACACTCCTATTAGTATAATATAAGCTAACAACGTGCCGAAAATTGCAGTTTTCCATTGTACTCTATGAGAGATTTCACCTACCTATCGCATTTTATGGGGGGGGGGGTTTAGCTAGCATATGATTTACCAAGTTCCAAGTTCACTTCACTTCTTCAACCTGTGCGCTGTGAAATTTCTTTAGGGCTTAATAGCTCCTAACCTTATTCTTCCAGATTTCCCACAAAAACGCAGCAGTTAAGTAAGTAAACAGATAAAAAGAAACAGCTGAACAATTAGCACCTTCTAGAAGAATCATCGGAAACTCTTGAAATAAAATTTCTATAACAAAGTAACAGGATTTCATTGAAATCGTTACTGCTGTAAGTCATAAGTTATCTACTTAAGAAGGGAGCTTTGTTTTCATTTGTGCTGTGTAGCGAGTCATTTTACATCTTACATATTGTTTTTATAATTTACACAGTGATGAAGGTGGTCAGCTTAGCTTTAGTGTTCGAGCCATATGCTCACAATAAATGAGGAATGTTCGCAAATATTGAGATGATCCTTACCTGACTTCACTGCTTCCATAGAGTACAACCATGATTTTTTTTGTACTGTTGTGATTTGGACTTCTTTTTACTTTCTAGCATAACACTATTTTAAAAAGTTACACATTTCATTCCGCTCTCCTGTACTAACCCTTCGGCTGTCTCTGTTCTTGTGCTGTTTTCAATGTAGTGTCCGGGTATGGATATGGAGTGGAGACGTAGAGAGACTAGTTCCAGTTGAAGAACAATACGACGGTCATTCGTTCTTCTACAATTCAATTTCGTCGGGTAAAGGTAGAAGAGTGCACTTTTCAACAACACCCTCAGAAATAGCATTTATGAAAATGGTTCATGAAAATAAAGAAACAAAAACTTGTCCCTTAACGACACCGCCGAGTCAACGCCGGCGCCAACGGATTCCGGTTCAGGCAAAAGTCGTTCATCGCTTAGCACCGTTCATCGTCGACGTATTCACTCATTTGTCATTTATGGGATTAAAGCACCATTAACATCAATATGATGAAGTGATTAATAGTTCATTAATACGAGGATTTTTTTTCAATTGAGAAGCTTACATGACGTTGTTACAAAAGCTCTCTATTCGGCTAACCTGTCGACTTTGTCGTCTTCTTCAGAGCCGATCCGTACTTATGGTCCGCAGCCGATCGTTTTCGCGACTTCGCTCTTCGTGATCGCGTTGAGTCGAATGTTCCTGAGTGGAGCACCGCTCGAATAAAGTAACCTCACTCGGCGATGTCCTCGGCAAGAACTGTTACTATTGATACTGATTGTTCACTCATAATAGTTTATTTTTGACCGGACAACCCATCCTGCCGAATACTTCTATTCATCTTGAAATCTGCATTCGTTAATAGAACTTTATGAGGTCGGATAAACCTATGAAAAGGCATCATTGTAAACATCGCTTCACACAACAAGAAGGAAATCCTTTAATAAAACGGAATTTCATTCACGAGCAAACTGACTGCCGCTGAATCATTGTGTCCTTTCGACCTCTCATAGTCCAAAAAGTTCTAGTAGCCTTCTCTACAAGTGAGGACTTTTATTCTTCTCAAATCCATGAAGCAATTGCAAACTCTTTTTTATTCATTATTTATATTATTTAGTGTTTCACTTTTATGACCTTTTTCCCAATGAATCCCAATGCCTCTGAATAGTAACTAAGAGGTTTAGCACATTGCCGAAGATGATATACGGCGAGAATTCTTCAGTTTTCTCCTATTCAAGCCTGAGAAGTAGCTTACATTTTCATCCGGATGAGCGGCAGTGAGTAAAGGCTCTTGAGTCTATAAAGGTCAGGGGCCAGCCCTTCGCGCTCCACCCATGCCCACCTGGGAATGCACTCAAATTGGTTTCTTAGTGCTCTAAAGGTAAATCGAAATAAGCCAGCAGCACACTAGTTGAAGGAATAACGTCTCGGGTTTTGAGACGACTCCTTCCGACGACTACGCATTCACCTTTTTAAGCTACCTTTAAATAAGCAAGCTTCTATGCTTGAAGTAGGACTAGTGTAGTCCGAAATCTGATTTTTCAAAGTATCGCTTTCAGTATCGAGAGTTTCATACCACCAATAAATAACTAACCATCCGCATCCATCCTGTTTAACTCTCATATATATTTAAAATGTCCTCTTCATCCCAACCACCGATTAAAGTACTAAGTTTAAGTCGACGCAGAGTAGGTAACAGTAGTGAGCATGGCTATGAACGATTTGGTGCTGACGTTCTCGTCACGTCTTAGATTCTCCACGATGCCATTTGGCTACGTGACGTCCTTCTGATTGGAAGTTGTGTAGTGCTGCGAAGGAATGAGATGTTTATGTGAGGTCATGCACCGAGTTATGCAATTACCCTTCTGTCCTCGGTTCACCTATCTCAGCCACCCCTCCCATGTCGTCGTTTTTCTAACGTCCATCGTTGACATCGACGAACGCTACCTATAGCCATTTATATGCCTAAGTATCACTTTTCTTTAAAAAAATCTGCTTTTCGGTCAATAATTATCGAATGTATGAGGTGGTGTTGGTAGCGGAAACTTTAAAGACTTTGTACGACAAATGGTTCGTAAATATGGAACTGCTGAAATGATTTTCTCTAGTATATTTGCTGTTCTGTTCCTTTTACATTTTTCTTTTATTCTGCAAGACAGTAGGATAACCCAGATGTTCGTATTTAGGAAAAGAAAGGAAAAAAAATATAGAATCGTTCTTAGATTTCTGTTCGAAAGTCATAGTAAGGTTGAATAGTGTTGATGTAGATTAAGTTTGAAAAAATAAAAATTTTCACTTTCTTTGCGTCTAACCAATGATTTGTGATCTTTCCTTTTGTGGAGAAGATTATTAACGTTAAAGAATCACTTGTCTATTTCTTTGTTTATTCTTACACATTCAGATTTCCTCTTCATCATTAGGAATTCACTTAATGAAGTGGAAGCAAAATATGGATGAATTTCGAAATGAATTCTCTCATTGCCAAATATCAACGTTAGCAGATAGAACAAAAGATAGATATCGATTTTTGCGTCCAGTTATTTGATGATGTTAATGCAACAGAATAGCGTAGCGGTTATTGGTGTCTCACTTCCCTATCTTTCCTTTTTATCCACTACTCTTTCATTTCAGCTTATATTTCCTATCTTTGTGGCCATTTCAGTCTCGCATTTGTTAAACCAATGATTTTCGGATATTCGATTAGCTAATGTTCATGAATCGTGCATTCTCAGAACAATTTCCATTTGTCTAGCACATTTCCAGTTGAGCAGTGCTTTTTTCGGGTCCGAAGTAGTGCGAGGTGGTTCCCAGACGGTCACTATTGGATATCGACAATCTTTTGTAATCGAATGGAGTTTCTCGCTTTCTTTAGTCTTCTCTGGAATGTTAGTGATTCCCTGATGTATTCTGGGTTAAGCAGTACATGAGCTTTCTCGGTAAATTTAGAACTCGTTCTTAGTATGAGTGTTCCTCTCGAATTACCCTTCATGCTTTTTTTTTCTCAAGTGCATATTATGTAGTTTTTCGGTGAAGTGTTCATTTTTTTACAAGCTTTACGAGTGCGTTAATAAGTATGGGTGCTAATGTAGTACGTTAATAAAGCATCGAGGTGAAGGAAGGACAGGAGTAAATCATGGATTTGACCATATTTGTAGCACCGTTGAGGTGGTATAATGCATATTTGGTTCACGTGATAAGTTGCGGGAGCCTGCATCCACCGACATAGTTTTTCTACCTTCCCGAACTAGTGTGATACCAATTTGCCAACATCGAAGGCATAAAGGGGTTGTTCTTCAGCCCATTTCACTTGATCAGCCCTTGAACTGTGTGTTCCGCGAGTTCAGCTTGCTCAGTTGGCAGAGTATCCTCATGTTGTTTTGACGCTTTTTTTGCTGCGTCAAGCAGTAATTCACGGGAAAGATGTATAATTGAAGGGGGAGTCCGAGAACTACGTGAGGAAGTTGCAAGAGTGACAGTGGAACAACGGAGCATCAAAACGACATGTGTTACCTTGGTTCAGTTTGTTGATTGAAGTGTAACTGTGGTTAATTGTTAGTGATTTATTACCAGACTCCGGCGAATGATTGCCAAATATACTTGCGATCATCTGGAGTCGCATGTAGAACAGTGGCTACTAGTGTCTAGTAATAGAAACTAAATCGCTCTCTGGTTCGATCCCATACCCTGGCTTGACTAACCTCTTCTGTATTTTCGGAGTCTTGAAATTGTCGTCAGATTTCTCTTTGAGTATAAGAACACTGACTTGATACGTGGGTAGGCTACAGCAACTAGTTCTGTGGGGCAGATATGCATCCAGTGGTGCATCCCTTAGGGATTGATCGATCAAAACGCTTTATTTTTTAACCTGTGTCGGTGACCATCTAACGAACATGTCGACCACTTGAGCTTGGATTTGTTGCCGAAATGCTTCCCAACCGCAGCGATTTTTTTATTCGTTCTTTCACCACTTTTGTTTAACACAGCAACTGTTAATGACAGCTTGTTTTCTGGGAGTTTCACTAATCACGGATCTCACGTACTTACCATCTTTCTCCGTTTTGATTTTCTGCTAGCGAAACAACTGCTCGGGGCAAAATCCACCCGCAAACACAGCGCGTCGAGTTTCCGCCTGTTGCCGACTTCCCTCAGGCTGCAGTACTCTCGTCCCATCCACCATGCTGCAATCTCCATCCCATCGAGCTTCGTGTTGTAACACCATAAAAAGAATTTTTAGTTCCTTTAAACTATTTGAAACCACAATCTGATGGTTTTTCTTTCACTGTTAAACCTGAGACTTTTGCTGAGATAAATAATCAAGCTGGTCAATAAGGAGGAAAATAAACCTAAAGAGCCTAAAGAAACGGTTTTACAATGTATGATTTGTTCCTTTTTTAACAAATCTAAAGCCTGACACTTTTTATGAAATCTGATTCTTAGCAGATTTTCGCTAGTTATTCTTTATTGTAGCTTTTGATTTCGATGTGATCATCCATTCAAATTCCTGCATTACGTTTGTGGTTCAAGCAGCAAGAATATTTTCTGTTATTGCTTATAAATAAATTGAAAACGACTTGGTTATTAGGCTAAGTAATTGATCCATTATAGATTCGTTGTTCAGCGACGAAGTCAGTCAAACACTGCTCGATGGATGGTGTAGTCGAACTGGACGGCTGTCCAATTCGCCAAACGAAGCACACTTGCATTTCTTTCTAGCGCAGTCGAACGGTTTTGCTTCTCCGAATACCATTCATTTCATGTCGTTTAATCGTGAACGTTTCGATAAAATGATGAATTCTTGAGCGATGCTGTACGATTCGAACTTCATCTTCTGTGCTGCTTGATGTCATTTTTGTCTTTAGTGAATTCTGTGACAATCAACTAAATCTGGAAGGAAAGGTGGTCAACAGAGCAGCTCAACATGTACGCGGGTCATCCAATACTTGATGTAAGTCTCACTGTCACACTTCGCTAACTGTAAAAATTTTCTGTAGGCATCCGCGGTCGAGACTTTTGCAAATATCTCGCCATCATTCTAGTTAGACTTCACTTTGTATCCTGTCAAGAAGAAAGAATAGGCAGGAAATAGAAAGTATCTACTGCTATTAGTATTAACATCCTCCCAACGGTTTACAGCTTCATCGTGGCTAGGAGGTGTTTCTGGCTGTCAGGCTACGACGTACAGCGGGGGATTCATCTCCTGGAAGGGTCTCCCAAACTGAGAAGGGGTCCGGCGTTTCCATCAGGGAGCCTAGCTAAGGGTAAACCAGTACCAGGACCCTCCACCCTCCTGGTATCAAAGTCGCATGGTGACAAATCTCCTCTGATCCACAAAGGCTGCGACTGCGTGTGGGCTATTGAAACATCATTGATATGCGCACATCTATAGGAATTTCTTTTCGCAATGGCTCTAGATGAGGTCAATCTGTGTTTCATTTTGGAAAACTTTATGATTTACTTTGATTAAAGAGCTGTGAAAGGAGAGTGATTGCGCAATTCTAGTGGCGCCATTCATCACTAACACCTAGCATGGTGCTGGTTCGACACCGCCCCGGGCTCCCCAAGCCTCTCATCTCTCCGGGACTGGGAATCACCAAACTTCTCTGGGCCAAACCCACTTCCTGAAATCGACGCAAGTCCTTTGTAGCACGGCTATCTCAAGACTCGAGGGCGATTTAACTCAACCAGCACTCAGTTTATAAAGAATACGACAATCTTCAATGAGGAGCTGAACCTATAAGTCGGAAGTCCGATGAGCACCGTGAATGATGAGAGAGGGGTAACAAATGGAACGCAAAAAGTTCTGCCATCCGCAATACAAAATCCAGTCCAGCGCATCATCTAGAATGTGAAGACGGGTCATATAAAGAAGACTATTTTTTCCTATTTTTGGAAAGGACACCTGTTCTTCCTATACAGAGTGGATCGTGTGGCCACATGCGTTCCGTTGGGCGTTGGTGGAGAAGAGGAGATTCAGAACATGAATTTCACCACTTTTCTGCGTCGCATTGTCTCCTCCTTTTCGTTTATGCACTTAGTGATGCGTATTCTAATTCATACGTGCATGGAAATGCTCATATGTATTCTCTTCCGTACGTTAATTCGTCTAAAATCTACTATGACCAATTGATTGGAAAGTACCTGGGAAGCAGTCTGGGTTCACCTACGTTTTGATAACTTTGGCCGCGAGCAGTTCGTACCATAACTCCTGACGAACTGTTCATTGCTACTTTATCCCAACGGTAATAGCTGTCATGTAAAAGGCGAGTGATGGTGTCTGTGTCCTACGCACGGGGGAAATCCACGAAAAGACAGCTGTTGTAGTTTGGCAAAGATGACAATTGCATTTTAATCGATGCTTGACGAGATCACGGTTGTTAGAGACTACATGGATTAGACATTATACGAAGACCTACGAATTGAGTAAACGCGATCGATATTAACAAATCAATGGATCAGTGGTTTATTACTGACTGTTATATATAATAATATCTGGTTATAAGTAACAGTGACGTTTTCATTAAGCTTATCCGTTTTATAGACTCTTAGAAACAGGAAGAAAATTTTCATTTACTTCCTAGAAATGGTAAGAAATAACTCGAAATGACTATGTCGTTAAGGAAATCAAGCAAGGCTTCAAACTGCGGCCAACGAAAACTGTGGACAAATCCAAACCGGTGATTATCGCTGAGGGGGAGGATGCCGACTGTATTGCTCCAACGAAACGACCTCCTCCTGGAATAGCACCGACAACTTCGCTTCATGTTGAAGAGGTCAGTCGGTGTTGGTGATCTCGCCTTGACGAGACCTCTGAGAGGTGAACGATATTCGATTCATGTACTTAGTGCTCATTACAGTGATTAATTTCCAATTTTGAAACCCTAACTCATTAATTGAGGTAGTCTACTACATATCTGACCACTTAGCGCTTAGCTATAGCAGTTATTTGATCCATTATTTCCCTCAAACTGTTTGCAATCTTTCAGAGACGTAATTAACTTAATGTAGACCTTAATCACTTTTTTTTTGAGAAGTCCATTTAAAGGTTATGATTTTCTGTCGTTTCTTATATAGAGATAACTAATGAATTTACTAATGAGCACTTGGACGTCTGGTCATACGTTTACAGTAATTCATACCTGTATTTCGATCAATCATCAGTCTGAATAATTATGACAGTTGTCCGGCACACACGTTCGTTGCTTCTATGGCCAGCCAATGATGAATGGTTAATAGTGGACATTTTGATAGAAAACAACCACAAATAGCAGCGATGCCTTTCCCCGATCGAACACTTCAGTGTGTCCTTCACGAAGTTGACGACAATATTGCGTCGTAATTGCGTCTGCAGAAATAGGACGAGCAGGTTCAATTCGTCGTATAAAGTTGTTCATAATCATCAATGGTCCTTTCACACTGCAGAATGAAGGTCCATTCGAAAAAAGACACAACATCGGTTATGTATAGGATTATCGAATTCGGATCTGGTGGACACGAATGGTAAAGATTTGATGAGTAAATGGTGACTGTGCTTTGGGTAATTCCAATCAAGAGTAATTCAGTGCGTAGTTTACAAACTTTGATTCTGTGCGGCTTTGGGTTTTTCTAGTTTAACTGCATTTCTCCACTATATTCTGCTGTGGGGAAGTTGACGCAACCTCCTAGAAAACCTGCTTCATAGGTTCAATGTTGAAAGTAACTAGTAACTACGGTTTTAACAATGCTAAGCAAAACCCAAGAACATTACAACTATGATCCATTCGAAAAAGGTTATTGATTTAGAAAGGGTTTCAAGGGTATAGAACTTCTTGGAATGTCTTCGTTACCATCATTTCTTTCGGGTTGCCGTAGAGCATCCTGAAATGCTTGATGTGATTCATTTGTCTTCAGCACGTTAAACTTATGTTGTGTCATAATATAGAATGAATCTCAATGAAAATCTTTACATTTATTTAGAGAGTTGCTACAAAAAAATTTTAAGTGAGAACTTCATGAGAATGGTAGAATTTGGTCCGTGATTATCTTTGTTGTGGACAGCCTAGGATGCACCACTCAATATCGGACCCAACTAGCCTGACTAGAGATCAAAGGAGGTCTGGGGATCATGACGCATAGTATCTTGAATAGATATGAGAATTTTAAGCTAAACTTCAGCCGCCTTTGAATTTTTCTGGTTTTCCAAGTTCAGGTATAAAGTTGCCGTTCAGCTGGAGTGTTTGATTACTCGACGTTGATTCCTCATCGGCTTTGATGAACTATCATGTTGTAGTGGTATCTTCGAATAACAATTTCTGTGTCCGCACAAATAGGACTTTAAGGAGAAAATTGTTACTGGATTTGAGAACTGGTTTGCCTAGGCTAGAAGAGAAAGCCTTTTACCAGATGGTTTATCGCGTACTGAAACCAGATTTCCGGTAAGGGAAAGTTCTTCTGTGCTGCTAACGGCATTAGAATGGAGCATTGAATTGTGAGATCATTTCGCCTACCGGTGCTATAGTTGTCACCACTTGCTCCGTTGAGCTTCGGAAACTCTGGAGACCCTAAAGCATTCGAAGAAGGCTTCGAAATGTAGTAGTTATTCTTTCTTATGGCAGTAATCATAGAAGATTGCGAAGATGACTCATGAATAATGAATAGAAAGCTATAAACCTCTCCACATACATAGCAGATTGGACTCATTCTGGTTACCGCAAATTGCGCGAGGTTTTGTAAAACCTTTCTCTTCAGCAACTATTTGAAATAAATAGTTAAATCCAGATCCAACTCTTTCGTAGTTTTGTTTTACCGATTTTTTTGTCGAAGTTCTTCCATTGCTATTCTAGGAAGCATCACCTGCAAGTGTCCAGAAGTCTCCAAGAGCTTCACCTTCACTACAGGCTTCTCCCAAATTTGAATTCTCAGCTCATCCACCACCACCTACCGGTGGTGAACCACTACCGCCACCGCCACCTCCACCGCCACCTTTCTTCTCAGGTTCTGTTCCACCTCCACCGCCACCTCCAGGAACATTTGGTTCGCCAATGCTACCACCACCACCAACGGTGGAACGGTCACCGCAAGATAGAAGTAGAAAATCACCTTCACCGTTCACGAATTTGGGTGGGAAATCTCCAGTCGAGATCGATCTCGGAGAGTTTCTACACTCCATTCAGGTGACTCATTTTTCTATTATAAAGTGATAGAGTATGAGATAGGAACATATTACAAGAGATGACCCAGAAACAAGTGAAAATGTGCAATTGAGCCGTATAAGAAGCGGATGAATATTTCGAAAATAGAGAACCAAGTATTGAGCATATATAAAGTTATATTGTGTTTAACCTCTACGTAAATTCCATAACTCTACTATGAAGAAGAAGGCAGATCTCCACTTAAGGTGCTGTATTAACTAGGAGAAAAAATCCCGTAAATATAAACTGTGAATTGAATAATCTCTGAGTTCTTCTTCCACATGTAAGCTTTCATCTTTCGTTTAGTTTCAAAGTATTCATAGGCAACAGGGAATAAGTCCTCACCTTTACAGTTGTGTTTAGGGAGGTGTTCGACTTCGTAAGACAGTCACCAATGACAAAAGTGGTCTAATTGTGGACGAAACGCTGAAGCAGAAAAGCGTGCAGTTGATTGAACCGACGCCATCGACCGCATACATTCCACCGAAGAAAGATCCACCCAAGAGAGGCTATCAGCGACCACAATCTCCTAGAGACACTTCATACCTGCATTCTGATGTGTCTGAAGACGAAAGGTCAGTCGAAACTCATCCGATAAGCACTCTTTCCATACTATTTGAAATTTGAGTTGTTAGAAATTTCCCAGCCAACATTAAATTAACAGAAATCCTTTACTATTATGAATATTGGAATAGAGCTAGGCGTATCTACGACTTAGGAACTCCTGCACTTCATATTTATGGAGTTGGGTTAAGCGTAACAGAATTTTTCTGTTGAATAATGATTAAAACGATTGGAGACCAAGCAATAAAATAATAAATCGGTTAAACAACGTTTAGAGGAGAGCTAAGGAAGGATTTTCAATTGAAGAAAGAAAAATGCGTGAAAAAAAGCTAGGGAGCGGTCTTAAATCTCTAATATGGTTCGAATGCATATCGATTAGAAAGCACTACAAAGGGTAACTAGGATGAGTCGAAGATCGTTAGTGTCGAAATGTCTTCAACAGAATTCATTGTTTTGACGCTTAGGTGGTGACAAATGAGACAGAGAAGAAATACTTTATGCGAAAATGAAAACAAATGTTTCATTGAATTATTCAGGGAAGTCTGTTGATAAACATTTTAGCTGCTGGTTTGATGTCATCTAAACGGAATCACTGCTTCTTCTGTTCGTTTCTTTTCATACCTTCATTCGTCTTATTTCCTTCTTCTTTTCTGGAGCCATCTTATTCTGGTTAAGACAAGTATGGAGAGGAGAAATCTGGTTACGAAGACAAACGTCAAATATGTTAATAACCATGTTTACACAACAAAAAAAAATCATGTCGTAATAAAAAAACAATCCATGAAACCATTTGGTTTTGTTACCAGACGTTTAGATGTTTGAATGTTTCGAAAAATGAAAACATTACAGCGCTTTATTAGTCGAGATAACGTCATTTTGGCCATGTGTCTCATAGATCAAAGTAGAGGTTGTCGGCCTTAAGGATATCTTGAGGATTTAAGTATCGTTGAAGTATTTGACTTAATGAGACATGGATGAGCTTAGAGGGATATCAACCATTGGCTTCTATTAGTTCAGATTCCTTACCCCTACGGGTCGTGGCTCCGAATACGGTACTCCCGAACCGGACGAATCATCATCACGTAGTGCTCGAAATTCTCCGGTAAAGGAAGAAAAACGACCGACTGATTTTGCATTTAGTGAAAAAAGTCTGAAGATCACAAGAGAAGACATAGAGCAGGTACAGATTGAGTTTTTCTCGTCATCGTATTTTTCCAAAAAAAAAAAACGAGCTTAATGTAGTAAATCTTGTCATCTAAACTCATACAGCATGTTGGTATATTAATATTTTTCGTATTCTTCGTGCTTTATCCAAGTTGTTTTATTGTTGGAAAGAACGAAAGAGTTTTTCTCTAAAAGCAATTGTTCATTCTGAGCGTCTTTTATGGTTCGATAACAAGGTTGTTCGCACTTTTTAGGGTTACTGTAGTTTTATATTTCTGATTCATCACGAATTTTTCGGAATCACATAAATGGCATTGAAGAGATCGGATAGTACAACAGTAAAAAGAGCGAAATACAACCACAATGTTGCTGAGATATTTGCAAAACTCTGGACCGCAGGTGTCTATGGTGGGGAACGAACGCGCTATTATCCTTTCCGGGGAGTAACGCGTTCACCACCACACCATGCGGGTCCTTTGTTTCGCACGTCTCTCAGCTATTTCTATCGATCTTTTTTGCCACAGCAATCACCCGTCAGCGGGGTTGATCTGGGGAGCGCAAATCGGCATAGAACCCAGTTAAGCTATGGCTGTAGTTGAAATCACAATGTTTTAACGTTTTGTTTTCTGCCTTCTATAATTTTCATGGCAGGTTACTAAGCGAAATACAACCACAATGTTGCTGAGATATTTGCAAAACTCTGGACCGCAGGTGTCTATGGTGGGGAACGAACGCGCTATTATCCTTTCCGGGGAGTAACGCGTTCACCACCACACCATGCGGGTCCTTTGTTTCGCACGTCTCTCAGCTATTTCTATCGATCTTTTTTGCCACAGCAATCACCCGTCAGCGGGGTTGATCTGGGGAGCGCAAATCGGCATAGAACCCAGTTAAGCTATGGCTGTAGTTGAAATCACAATGTTTTAACGTTTTGTTTTCTGCCTTCTATAATTTTCATGGCAGGTTACTAAGCGAAATACAACCACAATGTTGCTGAGATATTTGCAAAACTCTGGACCGCAGGTGTCGAAACAAAGGACCCGCATGGTGTGGTGGTGAACGCGTTACTCCCCGGAAAGGATAATAGCGCGTTCGTTCCCCACCATAGACACCTGCGGTCCAGAGTTTTGCAAATATCTCAGCAACATTGTGGTTGTATTTCGCTTAGTAACCTGCCATGAAAATTATAGAAGGCAGAAAACAAAACGTTAAAACATAGTAAAAAGAGCTTCGAGTGCTGAATAACTTCGTTGAGCTGCTTACAGGAAATCCCGTCCGGTACGGCAGCAGCGCGGATCGCCGCATTCATGCAGAATGTTGGTGCTGAAGTATCAAACGGTGGCACAATACAGCGTAATTTCCGTCCATCACCGCTCAGATTTCCCATAAACAAAGAGGTGTGTGCTTCGATGGAACCGCTCGGTTTTCATTTCAGGATTTTTCGTGACATAACAGCCGCCGTGTATTGCTTTCCATGCATATGGTTCCATAGTAATGCCCATCTCCGAGTTTAAAGCCATTAAGCCAGCGGCATCTACAGATATTACGTATTAAGTTGTCGATGTTATAAACGATATTAATGGTAGTCATAAACATGTTTTTCGAAAGGAAAACCAGTAAAGGCTATTTACGGTTTTACACCGTGGCTCTTAAATTAAACAGTAGTGGTAGCTCGATAGTACTATATGTTCGTGTAGTAGCTACTGCAGCTTATTTTCTCTAAGCAAATAAAAAAAAAGTTGAGCTAATAAAGCTCCCGGCAAACTATAGAGTAATCTTGAAAGCGTTTCCCCTAAGATGACCTAATGATGGAATACTGTTTCCACTTTTGCGATAGTTGTAATGAGTCTAAGAAGTCAAAATAATCTCATTTTTATTCACAGTGATGCTTACATATTTGCAAAACTGCGAGCCGGAAGTATCTGTGGGGGATCGAATCCGCTATCGGCGTTTCCAGAGGCTAACGTTTTCAGCAGCACAGCATGCGGCTCTTTAGTTTTGCCTTCCTCTTCTCTTTCTCTTTCCTTTCTTTTTTCTGAATTTTATTGTTAATAACATTCCTGGGAAGTACGAAATTTTTTCTCGATGAATTGATGATCTTCAGGTGAACAATAATGCAGGTGGTATTAACAAACCAAAAGCGCCATCAAAATGGGCTCCTGTGGAAACTGGAGGGCTACGACAACCGACAAGAGGTTTGAGGAAATTTCTCGCTCAATCTTAACCCTTTTATTTACTGCCTTTTTCCTTTTAATGGCAGGGTATGTTGCGAAATATAACTCGTATATAATGCTGAGATATTTGCAAAACTCCGGACCGCAGATGTATGCGGCGGGGAATGAACTCGCGCTGTTGTCCTTACCGGGGAGCAGCGCACTTCACCACCACACCATCAGGGTCCTTCGTTTTGCCTTTCTCTCAGCTAGTTCTATCGAGAAAAAGAAAAAGGCAGTAAATAAAAGGGTTAAGATTGTGATTATAACTAAGCCTCAGCTTAACTGGGTTCAATGCCGATTTGGGCTCCCCAGATCAATCCTGTTGACGGGTGATTGCTGATGGCAAGAAGATCGATAGAACTAGCTGAGACACAGTGAAAACGAAGGACCCGGATGGTGTGGTGGTGAAGTGCGCTGCTCCCCGGTAAGGACAACAGCGCGAGTTCGTTTCCCACCGCATACACCTGCGGTCCGGACTTTTGCAAATATCTCAGCATTATATACGAGTTATATTTCTCGCTCATTTAAATCGTTGTATAGGTCAACATCTAAGAAATTTGCATCAACGCGCTTAATATTTAAAAAGTAATGACATTTACTTGACTGAGTCTGCGAAGAAAAAGTTTTGCAATCTCTACCGCAATGTTTTGAAGATGGTAACCATTGATCTTTTTCGGGATCTAGATGGCCAACTTCTTGTACTCAAGCGCTACGTTTGACAGGAACCAACTTGCTCAACTAATTGGAGTTCTGTTCAGTTAGCTCAATAACTTGTATTGACTCCACTAAGTCGTCATCAGTTTCAGCTCCTCGCTAAAATTTCAGTGAACGTTCCCATGGATCGAAATGAACGTGCTCACTCTGAAGTTAGATGTCGTAGTAAATCAAATCTACAAGAGCCGACGGTGGAGAGGGCCAGAACTCAAAGTCCCGTCTCTCGTGACATCGTTACTCCTGCTAACCCGACATCAGCGACTGGAAATCGCAGGTCGGTAGCTGAGCAGCTCTTGGTTATGTTTACAGATTTCCATTTCTTTAACGTTTTCTATGACATTTTTGAATACAGTAGTGGATTTGAGCTCGTGACACGTCATATAAAGTTTGATTGATCGGTTTATATATCTTTCCGACAAATTTTAAGGAAACTGTGAAGTTTTTTAAAAGATTGAAGGATATTGTGATGGTTTTCAACAGAACAACTAGGCTATGAATTTCTATTGATGTTTTGCCATTTCGTAGACCACTTTTTATTTTGGCTCGAGATTTTTTTCCATTTACTCCTCTTCCAAACAAAAGTGTTATAGTGCTGGAAAGAAATTCTGGTTCCTATGTTTTCAATCCATCCCAAGACGTTTTAGTTTCATATGCATGAATACGTTTTAGGAATGACTACCCTCCACCTCTTCCAGCTACAGAACCACCAACCATCAACGAAATACCACCCACTCCGAAAGCATCTATAGCATCATGCTATCCTTACAGTAATACGGACGAAATTTCCAGGTTGTTTCTCATTTCCTACTGTAGACATAGCATTAGTATTTTCTTATGCTGGTAGTACTCATAAATATTTACTAAGTGACAACAACATTCACCAATTTTCTGGGTACTTACCTGAGCCATCTAGTATCAGAGACCGAATATAGTACATTAGCAGACGAATGTTATAGATTAACGTTAGGGTTTATGCTAGTGGAAATGGTATGCATCGCTAGGGATTTGCTCCTATGCAGGGGAACCAGGTGTGGAAACTCATGACGAGTAGAAATTGTCATGCTACTGTAGCTTCGTTTGGTACGATAACCACATCATCGTGTAAATATATATCCTTCGATGCATGCTCCTTCAGTGGATCCTTTGCTCTTCTAGTCCCAAGCGTTTCTGGGGTCTTCACTGGCTTGTAGTGCAAGAAGCTGAAAAGGAAGACTGAATCGGAAGTGGCTCCAAAATTCGTAAATGACGGGTTTCTACGGACTCCAGTACGGTCAGCATGTTAATTATTTATTTATAATTAACGTATTTAGTATAACAGATTTATTCGCCTACGACAATCGCTTCCCTTTGTCCTACGAGACGATTCCCTATGTATTACGGCGCTATCGGTACTGTGGAAATGTTGTTCACATCTCTGAATGGAAGTAGTTGTAAAGAACTACAAATTTTTTTCTGCTATAATCGTTTTGTGACATTTTGTTCGTTACCCTTACTGTAAACATCTTACGAAGTATCAGCACATGGTACACTTAAGAGTAAACTATTATGTTCTTTACCGCATAGCGTCTCCAGCGCTTCACGTCTGTGCATCCACACTTTCGACGCATGACATCACTTAAAAGGGATCATTATTTTCACTACTTATAATTTCATCAATCATTGAAAATAGCTAAGAACGTACCTAAATTCTCCTCGGTGAAGCAAGTCGTCCTCATCATGCTTTGACACTGCTTAGTTGGCTTTGCTGTTTCAAGGAACAACGAGCGAAAAGCTGTAGGCTTTCGTGTGTTCTCTTTGGCCAAATATAATTACTACTTATTAACCAGGCTTCGATGTAGAAAAGGTGTAATCTTAGGAAACAACCGTGGAAACATCGAACTCTTTCTGTTTTGATTTCCTTGCAGTCGATGGATTATTCCTGCTCTGTTCCAGAGATCATCACCGAAGATGTGCACTTCTACTTATTCTTCTATGCGTAAAAAGTGGCAATATTAGTCAAAGTAATCTCAACAGTAGTAAATCGACGAATTCAGTAGGATGAGCTAGTGAAGGCTTAGAAGAGTCGAAGGCTTACTTTGAGAACAAAAAGCGCTCGTAGGAATAGGGTTTAATGTATTCTATCTGCATATTCTATAGTAACTAGATGTTTCGTCCAAGGAAAAACCCAGGTAAAACTTTGCCAGAGATTTCATTACAAATGACTTCTGATCTTTTAAGCTACTACATTTTGAAAGCAAACACTAGGCGAAAATCACGCACAAAAAAGTAAGCGGGAACTTCTAATAATACAAATGAAATGCTGTTTTCAGTAAGAAAAACCCATCGCGAACTACCGAAAAAGACTCACCGTCACAATCGCCGAGCAGAAGTCCGTCACGAAGTTCTGGGAGGAAAGCACCGTCTGAGACCAAGAGTCCAGTACAAACGGAGAAAAAAGTGTCTCGATCACAGAACGCGAGTCCAACGAAAACCGAGGAGAAAACGTCATTGTTAAATTCACAGAATGAAACCTCACAGAGTAAAACTTCGTCGAGAACTCGAAAATTGTCACCGTCACAAAACAACCCATCGCGAACTGAGGAAAAAGTGGTGTCACCGACACCATCGCAATCATCGACTTCAATTCCATCACCATCTTCTACTTCACCTGCCAGTACATCTCCCGATACTACCAGAAGACGAACCAGTGCTGCATTTGATAAGGTGATTCATTTTTCTGGAAACATAGTGAGAACTGTCGTGATTATTACCGTGGTGGGAACTCCCCAGTATTCTTCAGTCGAAGTTTAGGTGAGATCATATAATTCTACTGTCACTCTCTTCCCACTGTTTTTCATAACCTGTTTTTGGTGCTGTGCATTAATTTTGTTTTTAATGTTTACTGATATCCCTCCACTACCACTTAATTCAGAATTTTGGAATCATCCTCCTTTTTTGGTTTTTTAATGTTCGACTTCATTGGTTCTAAAAAGCACTCCAGAGAATTTTTGTGATCGTTGTATACTATTAAACACCTTCATTAATTAGAGATTTGTAATACTTGTAACGTGATAATATGCAGATTTTCCACATGAAATAGATAACAGCAGATTTTTTTTGCAGCTACGTTCTATGGGATAAAAGGGCTGATCCTTAAGTGTTCTAGGCAAAGGAGAAGTTTTCTGGATGTACAGACTTTGCAAGTCCTCCACTTTCGAAAGATTCGATAAGACGTTCAGCAAGTCCTTTAGGTACTTTCAATGCGACCAAGGAAAAATTTGAAGGGAAACAGGTGAGGAGATTGGATTATGAGTTTCATAGAATTGAGCACAATGCTCAGATTCTTATGAAGTTTTTTGAGACACATGTGACGTATAAGGATTCTGGGTATGCATTACATATTTCCAAAGGCATTTGAAAGTTCTGAGGTTCCAGTAACTCTGTTCAGTGATTGGTTTAAAAGATGCCGAACGAACCCATCTACTGCACTCGGTTATCATTATTAACCAGCTGGTTACCAACAACTACCCAGAGCACTTTTTTATTATTTGAAAAAAGTCTATTAGAAATTTAATTAAATAGTTAAGAAAATCTGAAGGAAAATAGTTTAGAAGCACTAGAATACATCTAAGAAGCTGATCATTTTTCCACCATCTTTTTTCATATTTTTTTACTCATTCTTTTTTTGTTTGAAAGTACCTTAAAATAGACGAAACACATTTTAGTGTGCATCACCTCGTCGATATTAATGTGAATGAAAAGGTAAACTAGGCATGCGGATAATGAAGTGGATTTATTTGAGTGTTCAACTAACTGAAAGTATTGTTGATATGTTGGTGATGAAGTGCAGGGTGCTCGATGATCAACGACAATCCTCTATCGTTTCCAGAAACGAATGATCGACGTGCCGATCTCGGCACCGTGGTACAAGCCGTCATTGTCGACCACACAGGTTTCCGAGTTGGCACGTGCTCGTAAGGTATTGTATCTCATTTGTTATTTCTCCCTGATCAATTCACAGCATATCAATCGAAAAACAGGCGTTCTACTTCCTTTAATTGAACAAATATTAATCATAATCAGAAATTCTTCAATTGATCGGTTCCAAGTTTCGCATATACGACAAGGAAGCATAGAAATTTGAAAAAAGTTTCTTCCAATGTTTTAACTTCTACCAGCTGCCTATTCTTTCCCCATGGGAAGGTAGCATGTAAAATAGAACAGCAAGGATGCTGAAGCATGAGCAAAACTCGCTACCTCAGTTGTGTTTCGAATCCGTGATTACCTTATCAGTGGGCTCACGCGTTGTCCACTGCACCAACCAGGACCCTTACTTTCCCTATCCCAACGGTGTGTTTACTATATCGTTGCTATCAGCAATCAGGTGTAAACGACAAAATTTGCCATCTTTCAAATTCTTTCGTCCTCTCAATTGGCAAGTCCCATTATCACCTGGAGTTAAAGGATAAAGGATAAAGTTCTCGGCGTTGATCACTCCTTCAGGGATACGCCATGCATTCGACCTCATTAAGTATCGTTGGAGCTGATTGAATGCAAACCTGGTCTTTACAATGACTCGCGGTGGCTTACCGATGAATCGAGCCAGTGCTGCCATCATCCCAGATAAGTCTGGTGCTAATTTGCCGACCGCGGAGGGTTGGAAGGCTTGATGGGTCATGGGCGCGAGGATCAATTCCACGTGTGTGTCGCACTTGCGCCTCCAACCACTACGCCACACGCGCTCATCTGGAGTTACTACACGTCTGTTCAATTTTCACTAGCGATGCACACGTTGATTACAATTTGAATCCGTGCCCTTCAAGTTAACAAGGAGTAAAATGTCTACTCCTCTACAGTGTGCACCAATATTTTTTTAATCGTACAAAAACTGCTCCAAGTAGTAGGGAAACAAAAATTCCATTATTATTCGATGAGATTGCAATCGAGTATTCGACTAACTAAGAAAATGTCGGAGATGCTGCAGAGGGTATATATCCATACGTTACAGTAATAATTTCAGGTAGTTGTTAGCATGGATCCGTTCTCGTCATTGGATCCGGACACATTTCGGCGTAACTATCGATTCAATATCGATTTGTCGAGTGATTCGCCGTTATCGATCGTGAACAGATAGTAGTCGATTTTGTACTGTAGAGTGTTACTTCAGTCTCTTCCTATCCGTTCATTGGTTTCTTGTTATCATCGTCGTGTTTTTCCCGAGTGTCTGAGCTAATAGTTTTCTAATATAATGATCAGCGGGTCTTCGATCATCATAGTTAGCCTTCAGGCAATTCTAGTACAGATTTACTACATCGCAGTTTTATGCCAAGCCAAATTCCGACACGACGTTCGTTTTCCGTTCAGTCTCCTTTCTTCGATTTCGGTTCCACAGATACGCTTAATAACATTAATCATACGTATTGATCGCTTCTATTATCATTAACCACATCATTTTGCTCAGTGTTTTACCTAGAATCCTGTACTTAAGTGAAAATTAATGAATGTAGTAATCAACTAATTAATTTGTCAACGCCATCAATAGCCTCGGGCATATTTTAACGTGCTTTCCGAAAAATGTAAATTCCTGAAAAACAAAGTAAACGATCTTTCTTCCTCGTATCCTCATGCAATCGATACTTATGGGCCTCATTATCATCATCGTATCAGCGCTATTGTTAAAATGTATTCGAGGCTTGGGATGAACGACACATGGCAGTGACTGGTTCATCAACGGAAATTATGCTTGCTTGCTTTCATATGTAGTTTACTGCTTTTAATCCCTCTAATATTTTTTTATTCGTTGTTTTGTAGTGAACTGTTATTGAGGTTTTCAGATTTCGCCGTGTGTTCATATCTTAACACTAATCTTGGCGCTAGTCATTTCTTTTTGCCTTATCAATCACCACACAAGTTACAAGTTGACGAGTCAACTCCTGCATAAACATAAAACAACGTTAGTACTATTTCACTTGGTTATTTCAGCCGTTACAGTTCATAAGGGTGGCTTAAATTACCGTAGCTGTCGTACTTTTCTAAAACATACGACCGTAATTACCGTACTATCAAAAATTCCACGACGTTCGACATTTATTCGATAATTCGAAAGTGTAGAGTTTACATGATTTAGATAATCGATTGATCACTTATCGATCATATTGATCCCCAAGTATCGGAGTCTGACATCCGTTGCGTAAGCGTATAATTGTTATATGCAATGAAGAAAAGTGTATGAACTATGAACTCTGAGGACTACTGCTTTCGGCCTTTCACGGCAGGTATCTGAAATCAATCAATACTCATTAAATGGGCAGCGATAAACATTTGAATAATAAATTTCTAAGAGAATAAATATTATTCTCCAATTAACCAGATTTCTATCACAATCATAATGTGTTGATTGGGTTCTCTCAACAATATGATCTCGTCCACGTTCTACTGGCGGTGAGATTTCTTGTGATTGCAAAAGCGGGCGAGTTATCTGCATTCCATTTTTAGAGGCTTTTAAATTCTTAACACCACTGAATGGTGTCGATGCGTTTAATATCCTGAGTATAGCTTTTAAATTGGTTAGAGCTTGTTACGTGATCGGAAAACACTTGGATACTCCGATAATTGGATAGCTCGTCCTCGTTGTGCGGGCTTCAGCATAATCTCCATTTTTTTGGAGTTTTGCCGGTTTAGCCACTCTGAATTCTTGGAGTTCCGAGGTTAGACAAGCCAAAGTCTGCCCCAGGTCGTCAACACCACAGGCAGTCGCAGCACTTGTGGGTTAGAGGGAGACCTTCCACCATGCGAATAGTTTGATTTAGGGCCGGCAGTGGACCCTGATATTGGTTTACTCTTAGCTGGGCTTCCTGATGGAAACGTCGGACCAGTTCTCAGCTTCGGAGCTTTTGCCGGGGGACGAATCCCACCGCTGTACATCGCAGCCCGACAGCCAGGAAGACCTCCCAGCCATAATGAGGCGGTAAACCGTTGGGGGATCGGAAAGTAGCATTTCAAAAAGTCGCATATACTTATGTTCTTGTCGTTCACAACGTAAACTGCTCTTATCAGCTTATTTTCAAGTGATAATGGGACAGATCAGTGAATATACAGATTCCAGTATCATGGCCAGAATTTAAAAAAAACATAGCATACAGACTGTTATCAGCACCTCGAATGGATCAGCTGAAAACTCGTCCGTGTAGTCAATGATTGGCTGTCCTCTCCGCTCTCTCGATTTAGGAACCGGTACTATTCGATTATCCTGTTATAGCATAAGATTTATTTCATTGACGAGTTCTAAATCCTTACCATGGGCGCTTAAAAATGCTTCGAGGCTAATTTGAAAATCAAAATCATCTTTTTCTTCTTTGAATGTCTACTGTTGAGTTGAATTGGTATTTTCAAAAAAAATGACTGTATTTTTAGAGGTTGATAGGACATTTCTTTGTGACGAAAATTACATAAGTGCATATACATTTCCACTACATTACAGGGAAGATGTACGTGCTCACACTGTTTCACTCGATTTTGCACGCGTGCCGAAGTGAACTCCAGAGGAGGGCCAATAAAGCCACTAAATCCCCATTGTGGGTTTCTAAGGACGATACAAGCGAATAATTTAATTTCTATCCAGCCCTATGTCACAGCGAGTTTCGAGCATTCGATGTACGTCAACGAAAGACGTTATTTCATTGGATGTAATGCTTACGAGCGGTAGTGAAGCAACGCTAAAGTGGCTTGACCTTGATGGATCCCGTTTTGCGCTACGAGTACCGATTTACAGTGTCTGAACTCCTCCAAACCCTTAGAAGAAGCTAACCTTGTCATCGATTTGTTGCGATGCCCGCCTGATGATTAAGGGCAGATTACGACTAAATCGGAACGGTACGGCGTCACAGACTGCCGAGAGTACAACCAATACAACAAGAAGGTTCTGACGAGTCATCTGCAATTTGACCCACCAAAATAAAGGAAAGAATAGGACGAAAAAAGTTGTAGGCTAGGTGAAGCGATTGTGACAATGGCTAAGGAACGGTAACCCAGGAATGCAAACGAAAATAATGATGTACGATCAGCGGTTAAAAGGCTAAGATTGGATGAGAACATTTTCATTCTCGGAATACAGGTAAAAGCAGCAAAGTGTTATAAGAAGAAGAAATGCTTGGCCATACAATGATGATATCTCACCAAAAGCACATTCAACATATGGAAAGTCAGTCTGAGATAAGGAATGTTTCCATATTTGCTTCCTAAGAAATATTCTACAAATTGCTGGGTAACGAAGGCGATGAAGAAGTTAGTGAATTTTTTCTTCAAAAATAGAAGAAAGAAAGAGAAAAAGAAAGCATTATAGAAAGGCATCATCGGTTAATTCCACGTTCAGAATCAGATCGAGCAAAACCTCTGAAGTATATGGTATTGTGGGCGCTACGTGCGATCGTCTACTTTATGAAAAAAATCTTCTTTTACCAAAGAAGAGAAGAATTGTATGCAAGGTTTAGCAGATGAAATTCTGGAACCAGAATTGCCTAGAAAGTTCATATAATTCCCCAGACAGTTTGATGAACAAAAACTTACTAGCAAAGTCTTTCGTAAATACGATCACCTCACTAAACCCTTTCAGTGGATGACACGCGAGCCCTCGGGAAAGTAATCGCGAGTTCGAAGCACAGCTAATGTTCTAAGTTTTACTCACATCTCAGCATCCTTGTGATTGTATTTCAAATAGTACCCCACTGTGAAAAGCTAACAGGAAGTAAGCAAAAGTTTGAACACTCAGTTAAGTGCTGCAAGAATCGAGTTTGAAAGCCAATGAAGGGTGTGGACGAGATGGATCCAAACAAAACCAGCCAACGTGTCTTTTCAGTGAAGGATCATAGAGCAGCCTCTCGCAACGAGATCAAACTCAAAGCCTAAGAACCTGTCATCAGTTTGTGACAACATACTGGCTTGAATCTTTACCTAATGACTTTGAAGAAAGACAAGGCTCATATTCAATGAGAAAGGAGTACGACCGACCGTGCTATCGCACAAAGAGTGAGATTTATAAAACATTGGCAATTGCTCCCCCACTCGTCTACTTCATGCCGTTTTCAACCCTTTATCGCTCACTTCAGCTGTCTTCAACATTACTGGCACAGCTTTGGATAAAGAATCCTGATGCGAATAAACAGGTTCTCTAGAAGAACTCAACGTGTCTACACGTTCGCCAAATCTGTTAAAGTACCGCGTGAAGGCAGAGCTCCATGTGTCACTTTCACCGAGTTAAGGAGCTTTTCAATGCAGTTAAGGTGGCTGCGGTTACGAATGCCTTGTTGTTCAAGAAATGTCCAATCAGAACTTGAAGATCATGGCTACCTGATAGCCTTCACAACCTCAAGTTCTCTATTCTAAAATGACGTTATCACTGACGAAAGAAAAAGTTCGATAAGTCTCCTTCTCGAAGATATTCAACGTTTCTCCTATCTACTTGGTGACGACGTTGTAATACCTATGATATAATAAAAACACATAGATGAATTAATGTCGAAATTATCACAAATAAGAAATAATGTGAGTGAAGGGGTACTGCAGTGGTAGTGATCTCGCTCGTTATGCGAACGGCCAAACTCACGCGGGAACTCCTTGGAGCCTCTATCCCGCTTCAACTTTGGTGTCCCGGGCTCACCAAGCCTCTCATCCCTTCGGAGTCGAGCAATTGGCAGTAACGCTGTCGGGGATGAGACAAGCTCACTCCCTATAGTCCTCGGGAACGTTCTATCACGGTTATCCTAGGACTCCAGGGAGAATAAACTCAAACTGGCACTAAATAATATTCATAATGAAGACAAAAAACCAAGCAATAGCCAGCCGAAACGACGTGCAGCAAGGATCCATTTCCCTCCATGGATGGTGGACGCGAAGAAACGAATCGGATGCAAGAGGTACTGACATCCGCACAATTCAGTACATGTTAATTTGTCCCAATAAAAACCAAGAAATAAAATATGAATTGCGTGTGCAAGGTCATTGTTTATGAAAACGGTGAATTGCATACGAAGACAAGTACAAAGAAACTGAAATGTAAGTAAATTTTGAGCCTTAGGAGCACCTCGAATTTTCGAGCATTCGGGTCCATCTCAGCATTCGCATGGTCACTCTTTACATAGTACCCCATAGAGCTGAGGACGCGTGTAGCGCAGTGATCAAGGGTGTCCTGTAATACACATGGGTTCGATCCCGCGCCCCAGGCTCACTTAGCTTTCCATCTCCCTATGGTCAGCAAACTGCTATCAGACCTGCCTCGGAGGGTACCGCCACTGACACGATACATCGGTAGGCTAGCGCGAGTCATTGTGTAGGTCAGATAAATATTCATACTTAGTTACTTAGATTTATATTGATGATATTATTTATGTATTAATACTTAGCTCCAGAGTTGAGCAGAAGGAAACGAGCGGCTTGGCGAGCTTTCAAGAGAATCGAGGATGTAGTGAAGAGAGCAAAGAACACCCGACTCCATGCCCACCGTTTCGACTCAACAGTACTTCCTCCGTTAACAAATGCGTCAAAATGCGTCGGATCGCTGCGTAAGCAGGATGTGAAATCACTCAGCGTTATTGAACGCGCAGTCGAAAGGACGATGCTAGGAGTATTCCGAAGCTCCCTAACCGACCTGCGTCAACGATCAAAAATCAAAGATGCTGTTCTATATGCCAAACAGTCAAAGATAACGTGGATCGGACACGTAATGCGTATGAACGACAACCGATGGACAAATGCCGTTGGGGACTGGGTTCCTCGGTACTTTAAACGCACTGCAGGAAGACCATCGGCACAATTGTCAGAGTTCTTCACGAAAATGCTTGAAAAAAGATATGATGCTCAACAGATCTCTAGAACGAGCAGAATCCACTAGGCTACTCTTGCACGCGACAGGGAGAAAAGGAAAGTGTACTGGGGCGGGCTTGAGTCATTCGACGATCAACAGGACGACAATTGATAAAGGTGAAGTGACATGATCCTTCACTCGTGCATGTCCCAGCTCGCTTCGGTTCGTTGTCATTTATTTCTCGTTTTACGGGAGGCCAGGTTTCAGATGTAGATTTGTCAACGGTTTGAGAATTGTAATCTTCTCTCTTCACTGACATGCTGAATGCTTGTCAATGGTGGTACCCCTTTAAAAACAGGCGATCCTTGTTAACGTGGTACCAGGTGCTGACCATAGGTATTCGGCAAAAGTTGCGAATTGACAGAAACAACTGCGAGACAGTTAGCCTCCAATTCGCCGACCTTAGAGAGATGGAGCATGTATAGTATACTGGCCTGGAGCTGAATCAAGATGGCGACCACGTGTGTTTCGCAGGGAACGTCTTACCCACTGCGCTACACGCGCACTCTACTTTTTTATGTGGGATGGAGAGGTGGCACTTTTAGAGGAGAACTGAACTCTATCAAGAAATGAACGAATTCAAAATAAATCTGATAAAGAATTAAAAAACCAAGTAGTACCATAGCCAAGAAATGCTTTGAAAATTTATTGTTAAGTGATAAAAAGTCGTAGGTGGTAGCTATAAGGTAGTTGACAAAAGAACGGTCTTAAGTACTGGTGTGAATAATATATAACAATGATCTCTGTAGAAAAGCAGCAAGCCTCAAGAAAAGATGGCACTGAGAAGGAGTCTATATGAAGTCGAATCGAGGTCGACGAAGTCAATCTTAGAATAGTCATTATCCCTTAACCTTATTGAGAGCATTTAGAGCAGTGGTTGGATGTGTCCTTCAATAAGCATCGAATCGGTCCCTGGTTCGGCCCCACGCCCCGGGCTCGCCTAACCTTATAGAGTCGCCAAATTAGTAACAGATTTCTTTAGGAGGATAGTAACACTGACTTAATACATCAGTAGAGCACCAAAAGTCGTTATATAGGGCATATGCAATAGGTCGCAACTATTTGGACTCTTGATGAAGTCGAATGCATGACGGATCGATCCCCAGGTGTTGACCGACGGCGAATGCTTTATCCTTTACCACTTGCCCTGAACTCTACAGCATCTTACGGTGGAAATTTCAACGACATTCGTTCCAAATCATCGATAATTCGCAGTGTTCCGATCACGAATGACCACCAAACGTTATCGCGGCCTTCTCATTTGCTACGGTGATATTTATCAAATCCACAAAGCTTTAACATCCAGCAATGAATATCCAATCCATGGAAAAGGTGCTTGGGATACCAAATTGTGCAGTTGTGAATAAACGTCCTAACGAAGGCTGATTAACTTATTGACAGACTTTGTTCTGCCTTGCAAAAAGTTGCAAACCAATAGCCAATACCAGATTCCGTAGATTCGGAAACCGCTGTTTCAGTGCGTTCCTAAGCCAACGTCACCTCTACTGACTGGCTTATGCACACATGGATATTTGCCACCGTGCAATTAGTTCTCCTTGGGAATGACTGTTAAATCTGGCATTGTTTTACTCTTAGGTGAGCCCTTGAATAGAATATAACTACTGTGGTTGGCCTTGGAATATATGAAGAAGAAAATGGTGTTCAGCTAAGGGGTAAGACAGTTGAAAAACCAAACTTGGAAAGAAGGAATAAAATTCATAGTAAGATCCGTTGGGAGTTTTATCACACAGCAGGTGACAACTGATTAAGGGTGGAATTGAAACACGTCAGGTAAGAAGTTAACGCAGGTGAAACGATTTAATGAACTACTTAACAAATAGATTTCAGCAGTGATGCAAATGCAAGTACTCAATTATTTTCTCCTTCTCCGTTAAGGGAGAAAAAAGATTTCTGTAGCGTCTCTTTAATGGGCATTGCTGGTGAACTTGAGAAATTACTTTACGTCGACTGGAGTTGTTGCAAATTAACTGTTTTCTTACTCGGAATGTCAGTTGTACCACGCCGATTTTCAGTGTTAATGAACTTTTTGATGCCTTTAAAAGCAATGAACTTAAAGAATGAATGTGTGAAAACAGAGGTGGTTAATTTATACTTGATAACGGTTGAAATGATGTGAAGCGAACGAAACGCCGGGGCTA